TGCCATGCACACTCATATAGCATATCCTGGGAGGTTATATGTTGGTTTCTCTTGTTTGTCCCCTTTTTGGGTTTCCTCCCAGATGATGACAACGACCACACGAATGGAGCACCCGTGAGGTGCGTCCGAGGATCTCTCACGAGATCGTCATGCTGAGGTGTGTGGTGTCTGATGGGAGGAAACACAAACTTTGTTTCCTCGTTTGCTTTTGGGGTTTATAACCTCCTGGTGGATGCTAGAGTGGTGGAACAGAGAAGATCTCAGTGATCTTTATGGATTAGAAGGGTTGGACGTCACTAGGGTGACTTTTGGGTCCAATGGAATCCACACTAGGTTCACTCGCCTTGCGGGAATCGTTCGAGCGTCGTTTTCGAACGAACCACACTTTGTTTTCGGCTCACCTTCAAGAGGATGGAGCACTGGAGTTTAAAGAAGATAGACATGCACAAAATGTACACACTGTAAAGAACCTTGCGTTTGTTGTGTGTCGCGCAAAAGGTCGCTTGAGGCTTGCGGTGTTGTTGGGTTCGGGCCTTGTGAGGTCGTTTGGGGTTCTGGTTTTTCGCAATCACTGCGCGCAAGGCTCGGATCCAGAAAGGCCCTGCTGGGGATGTAGTGCAGCAAGGGCGGTTCGCAATCTCCGGCAGTGCAGCGCAGTTATGAAGGCTTTAACTCTTGTGGTATGTGCGTATATGGCAGTCTGATCTTACAAAGGCTGGCGCAGTGCACAAATGTGAATTCCTGGATTTCTTCAATCTTGATTGAAATATCGACTTTCTTCAGCAATTTACAATTGTCACAGGCATGTGCCCCCAGCACTTTTTTTTTGCACGGGTGAGGGCGCTGTGTGTGCCCAAAGGCACAAGTCACCTTAAATGAATTCGAGAAAACAGATGAGAGGATACGAGCGTGAAAGCTCCAACGACCCAAACCAGAACACCAAAAACCAAACAGCCACACCACTGGCTCATATCTTCTCGTGAAAACAAGGATGTGAAGATCCGGAGATCAACCACAGGTGTGAAACGGGGCGATGAATTCAAAGCTTTGGGTGCTCTCTACAGGAGGACCATCACGCAGCAGACATCCTGTTTATGAGGCAACAGGTTTTGCAACGATCACTGTGCGGGAGCTTTGTTGTCGATTAAACAAGCCTGGATGCAGGTGTGAGGTACTTTCCAAGCCAGCTCAGGAGCCAGGCAGGTCGAAACTTTTGTCCAAGAGCACGACATCGCCTATGTCAGCTTTTGTTTGTTCCTGATTGGCCCGCTCTATCACGGAAAGGTAGCCTGTAAGGACTACCTTGAGTTTGCTTTGCGAAGCAAAGGGACTGGCTTGAGAGCCTGCTCAGGACTAAAGATTGGTAGATCAATGTGTCTAACACCCCCCCCTTCCCGTGTGATGATTCATTGATAAATCAATTCCTTGCATCCCCTCTCGGCGGCGCCATCACACTATAAGGTTGGTCATGTGGGTGATGCATGGACCCTGATTCCCTTTGTTCAGGGATAGGGCACTTGATGTCATGCATACACCCCGTCAGCAGATACCCCTTTTACCGTAACCTTTCCTCCACGAAGTCCGATAGCCACATGGGACGCAGAAGCTACTACGGGCTCCTGGCATCGCTACTTAGAACTAGACGCTACACACCTTGGGGCCCCTGGCCTCGTTACTACCTACTCGACCGCGAACCTACTCGGGGCTCTTGTCGTTGCAATGAGAAACAAGAAACTCTTTGGGTTCAGCTGTGATTCCCCTTGTGTTTCATGGGTGGCGAGTTGGTCACCGTATCCACTCTCCGCGGACAACGCGTTGTTTCGGCAGCGTTGTGCGCAACGCCTTCGTTTGACACGCCGGGCGTCGGCAGCCGCGCTGCTTGGGCTCGAAGTCAGCCGCGATGTCGCCGTGCAAGCGCCAGCGTGTGCAGGCTTGGGGTTTTGCGGGTTGGCTGCTTGCTCTTCTGTTTGGTTCCCGTTCCATGTGCCCTGCTTGGAGGCCATGCTCGACATGACCCTGGATGAGTTGATCCAGGCGCAAGCCTGCTGCGGTGGAACCAGGGCAACGAGCCACGCACAGACACAAACACCCACATATGCGTAACTCCTTTTTGCATTTTCGCCATCCTGTTCGCTTTTTTGCCATGCTCTGAGGCGCTTGCTTCGGTAGAGAACATGTAGCTACCATTGCAGGACGTTGATTCTATACTGGTGCATATTCGGGCGACCTGCCCGCGATCGTCGCTGTTCGTTTTCTCCCTGTACACTTCGGTCCCACGGTACACCGGCAATTCTGCAGGGGAAAGTTCCGACGAACTGCTCGGTGAACCAAAGTTAAGTTTAGAGGGAGTGGCCGCCAAACTTTTCGGTTTCTGGGCCTGTCTTCACCCATGCACGCTCCTGGAACAAACAGCAGGCACCAAAGGCAAAGGAGCTGCAAGAGGGCATCGAGAGGCGCAACTGAGTTGTGAATCTGTTCTTCAGTCCTGTCAAGCAAGCCCTGCACCAAACTTGACCGTGACTTTTGTTTTCTTAGATTTGCCTTGGGGTTTTGGAAACGGGCGCACCTCTTTAGGAAGACACCGCAACAATCTCTTCACTAGTTTTGATACTTTTCATGACACTTGTTAGTTCTGTTTTGGCCATGCGTTTTGGAAAGCTTTGTGGAGCATAGCTCACGGAATGCATTGGGTTTAGGACCTTTGTGAAGAGAAACCTTTGTAGTTTTTGTAGTGTGAATGGTTCTTGCACACTGTTGTGCATGTTTGAGTGCTTTAAGCGCGATACCTTCGGCATCTCGCATGGGAATCGCTTGTTGCAGGAATGCGTCAAAGCCTTTTGAACTTTACTTGTTTGGCTCAAGTGCGCGAGAAAAGAGTGCGATGCCTTTGCCGTGCTTTCGCTTGCTGTTGCAAGTGCTTTCGCGCTGTGTGTAGAACGTTTGCAACTTACTTACTTAAAGTAGTATTAGTAGGTCTTTCACGCTCACCTTGTCGTTAGTGAGGCGTCCACATGGGGATCAGCCCACCGCAGTGAGCACTCCAGTAGGAATTGCTTGTTTGTTTGTGAGCGCCAAATCAAACAAACCCCGACCAATTCGACCGGACCCACCAAAGTAAAGTGGTAAGGACTTCAAACAGCGGCTGCCTGTACTAGTTCGGCCTTTTCTTTTGGGAACCTGTGCCTACTGCAGCTCAGTAGGAAGGCGCCCCAGTCGAGCTAACAGTGCAACAGGCAGGGACCAAGGTTGGAACACAGCAAAAAAACAACTATGGGAAAGCAGCCTCAGGCTAGCAATGGTTGGACGTATATGCCGCCAGGTTTGCCGGGCGGGGCGCCCCTTAGTGACTTAATGACGTATGAGGTATTGCCCCAAGTTGATCTACGTCCTCCAATGCCTGCAATGTCGCAATGGAGGCGGTCAAAAATGGCATACTTTCGCAAGCCTTGCATGACCTGCCCTCCTGGACACCATGCAGAACATGTTCATTAGTTGGCTGTAGATGGCTATGAACAGCCCAAAACTTTTGTACTTAAAACTCTGCGCCAATGATGCTCGTGATGTGACCCACCTCCCCTGCATAACTCGCACCCAGAACTTGCAAATTTACTAGGGCGTAAATATTTTTTCGCCCCATAGCTCACGGAATGCACAATGTATTGAAACTTTGTGAAACAATTGTAGTTTTTGTAGTGTGAGAGTGGTTCTTGAACAGCTTTGTGCATGTTTGAATGCTTTAAGCGCGATACCTTCGGTATCTCGCATGGGACATAGCTTTTGAACTTTGCTTGTTTGGCTCAAGTGCACGAAAAATATGTGCGATGCGCTTGCTGTGTTTTTGAGTGCTGTTGCAAATAGTTTCGTGTTGTGTGTGTAGAACATTTGTTAGCTACTTACCTAAATTAGTAGGTTTGACGGAGAGACGGCTCAATACAAGTTTCACCTGCGCGATTGGATTTTTGTCGAATCTGAGCTTGGAGATCCTTCTTCTCTATTGCCGTGTGAAATGCCTCGGGACCCAAACTCCACAAGTTGCTGTTGGCTGCCTGGTCGTCTTAACAGTCTTATATAAGGACTTGACCGTTTGAAGTATGCCACTGATGGTTTGGTCATCTGAGAGTTGCGGCCCTTTTCATCATGCTTCTCAATCTCACCGTTTCACTTGCATGCTTGTTTGGTGAGACCTCCGCTCTCTGTTATCCTCTTCCACCTTTTCCACCTTAGAGATTCTCTTTGCGACGTGAAGTCGACCTCGTAATGCACAGGGTCGAGGGGAAAAAGAGGTGCCATGCATAGCGTGACGCACATTTTGTTGAGGTGGCTCAATCAAGAGAAATTGAGCACTGCCGTGCTTCACAAAAAGTCGGTCATGCGCGCCCGCCAAATGGTGGCTCAAAAATTCTGAATTCGGTTGATCGTGAACTTCAAAAGTTCTGGGTTGCATTGATTGTTGGTTTCTTGGCAGTGGCAAAAAGATGGTAGTGCAGCTGTTTGGTGGGGACACAAATGGGTCGAGATTTGGTCGAGGCAAAACAGGCAAAACATGGTAAGTATGCAGCAGTATGCAAGCCCTGACCTCTCACCTCCACGGATTTTTCCATTGTGAAACCGGTTGCACGAGACTTGGGGTGGAGTTGGTTGCATGTCTTTAGGTGTGCGAAATTCCGTGACTGGCTCCAGCTTGACAAACTGGTTTGGCAAAGTGGTCATAAGACACACATCGTCTCGTTGTTTTGGGAAACTCTGTATGCCCGGTTTGGTCGCTTCCGCTGATAACATCTTACAATATATATCATCAAAACTGAACCTTCAGCGCCTGCATGTACAACCAGCTGTGTGACACTGACTCATGAATCAATCTTACCACGGGATCTTGGACTATACCAGTCAACCCAACTGCCAGCCCCACAAACCCAACACCAATTGACTTCGGTTGGTTCCGCATATAGCCCTGTGGCCGCTCTGCGGCCGCCCTGCGGCTGTGATTGGTCGTGGTCGCCATGTGGAGTCGCACGTCCAATGCTCTTCTCGACAGGTGCGTGCCCTTGAGATGTGATGTCGAGGAACTCGGGCCCCTCGCATCGCGATGTGTTTTTCACCAGGAGCACCAATGCCCAAATCATGTGGACGGCCACAGCCTCAGAGCGACACGGACGTTTTCAGTGTTTCGCGCGTTTCGCATGGTTGCAGGAACGTGTGCGCAAAGAGCGCCGAAGGTGGGGAGCAATGCAACGAGTCTGCCAAACATTGTTCTTTTGTTGCAGTGTGTTTTCTTATTATCACTACTGTATATATATATATTTAAAGTTGTAAACGCATGCGCAATCTTACTGCGGATGTGACTTCTCGTTTTTGCTACTAGCAAGAACGCATTCTGAACGCCATTTGAAACTGCCCTTTCCGTCGCAGATTGGGTCTGGAAAAGCCGGGTGGTCCCACCACAGCCGACCTTTTAGTGCCGTCCTCGATTTGGAGGGCTTGGAGTGCTGCAAAGGCATGTTTTGTATTGCTTCTTGAGACCTAGCCTTGAATAAAAGTGTGACTGTCGTGAAACAATTTGGGAAAACCCAAATTTGTTAGATCTATTGTAAGATATCTCAACAATCCATTGGTGCAGACGAGCTTCCCCATTCGCTACAACAGCAACTAAGTTGGGCGTGAGTAGAGTGGCTGCGAAGGCGTGGCAGTGCAAGCAAAAGAAACCAAGACAGATTTTCGACTTGTCTAGATTTGATATTGTGAATTGAATGTATTCAATATGTGTGTCATATTATGCCTTGTTGCACCAAGGAACCTGCCAACTCGCGCAGAGCCGCCCAAAGGCTTGGAGTGTCAGTGCAGGCAGTGCAGTGCATGTGTGGGATCGAGTGTCAGAACGCTAGGAAGGCACTTCCTCGTCCTCCGGAACTCTTTGAGAAAGCTTTTGTGGATCTGCATCATAGGCACAGCGTCAGGGCTCCCGCATGAAAGAGGCCGAATGAACGGCGGCCATATGAAAGAAGTCCTTAGCTTCCGTTTCTCTTCTCTTTTTTTTGTCAACACAACCCTCTTTATTCATGCTATTCCGCTCGGCTTCCCACGTCACGCATGTTGTGTGTTGAGTGGCACGTGCCGTGCCTCGAGCCTTCCGAAGCGGAGGCGGATTCCGGAGCTTCATCGAGCAGTACTGATGGAATGGCCACTTATTCGAAGGGCCAAGTTGTCATGTCAAAGTACCAACCAATCGTACTAGGGTGGAGCCATCGCTTCTAGGTTGGAGGCCATCGCTTCTAGGCTAGTAGAAGGTTGGAGGCCATCGCTTCTAGGTTGGAGGCCATCGCTTCTAGGTTGGAGGCCATCGCTAGTAGGTTGAAGGCCATCGCTAGTAGTAGGTTGGAGGCCACCGCTATTAGGGTGGAGGCCATTGCTTCTAGGTTGGAGGCCATTGCTATTAGGTTGGAGGGCATCGCTACTAGGGTGGAGGCCATCGCTATTACGTTGGAGTTGAGCTGAAGGAACTATTGGAAGACAAATAGGTGTTTTTGTAGAATATGTTCAACACTTTTCGTATAGGATGGCAAACATGCTCAAGTGCCAAGTCGGCCACGCGCATCAGACTTTTGTGAGGCGCAACAAGCGTGTCGCAAGGCAAGGAGCCATGCAAACAGCCTTTGTGCCTTTAGCTTTAACCAGCACATGTGCAGCACTATGGCAAGAATCCCTGATCACACTCATACTCTTGCTTCGCATTTCAGTCGAAGTTCTTCTTTGCCCAGCTTGGTTTCCATCTCAGCTTCTTTTTGACTAGTCAGTGTAGATTTGCTTTCAGATGTTTTCTTGGAATGTTTAAGGCAAAGTTACACGGTGAGACGTTTGAGCCGTACCACAGATACCAAATCGAAGAGCCACGGTTGGCAAGGCTGGAGAGGACCGTGGTTCCTTTTTTGCGAAACCTATTGTTTTGGAACACGATCTTGCGACTGCAGTGTCTGGAAGGATTTTCCAACACGGTTGAATTTGAGCACAAGTGGCTGTAGCCGTATGTCTTTACCCACCGCTTTGGGCGCGTTGATACGCCGCCTTGACATGATCTCATCACAGAGTGACTGAGAAAAAGCGGCACCTCGTGGCTTGTTCGGTCTGCACTCTTTCTTCTCACTTGAGCATGCCGAAGCTCGCTGCTCAAGAACGTTGCTGTGACAAGGTTGTCGCAACAGGTGAAAAGCAGTACCTTTTTCACAGTCGGATGCTCATAGTGGAGTAGCTTCTTGTTCCTAGTTGCTTCTTGTTCCTAGTAGCGATGCACCTGTTCCTAGTAGCTTCTTGTTACTACTAGTAAGGCACCTGTTACTACTAGCGATGCACTTGTTACTAGTAGAGGTCATAGTGGAGTCCAATCCTCCGAAAGTGCTGAGAAGGGAAGTCTTTGCAAAACAGCGAGGGTTGGAGGCCATTGCTATTAGGTTCCTTTTGCTAGTAGAAACATGTGCTTCGTGCATTGAGCATGTTGGGAAAGAGCCATGGACTTGCAGGATGCGCTGGTGGATGTGTGGGAATTTCCCACAGGAGTGGCAAAGAATTTGCAATCCATGCGTGTGCATTCTTGCTTGTGTCTTCAGTGAGTTGTTTTGAACTGTAAGAAGAAGCAGCCAAGGATTCTTATGGAGGCCATTGCTAGTAGGTTGGAGGCCATTGCTATGAGGTTGGAGGCCTTTGCTAGTAGGTTGGAGGCCACTGCTATTAGGTTGGAGGCCACTGCTATTAGGTTGGAGGCCATTGCTAGCAGGTTGGGGCCCAGTGCTAGCAGGTTGGAGACCATCGCTACATGGTTGGAGGCCATTGCTAGTAGGTTGGGTGCCATTGCTAGTAGGTTGGAGGCCATCGGTAGTAGGCTGGAGGCCTTAGCTAGTAGGTTAGAGGCCATTGCTAGTAGGTTGGAGGCCGCTGCTAGTAGCTTGGAGGCCATTGCTATTTGGTTGGAGGGCATTGCTAGTAGCTTGGAGGCCATTGCTATGAGGTTGGAGGGCATTGCTAGGAGGTTGGGGGCCCATTGCTAGCAGGTTGGAGACCATCGCTACAGGGTTGAGGCCATTGTTGGTAGGTTGAATGCCATTGCTAGCAGGTTGGAGGCGATCGGTAGTAGGTTGGAGGCCTTTGCTAGTAGGTTGGAGGCCATTGCTTGTTGTAGCTTGGAGGCCATTGCTGATAGGTTGGAGGGCATTGCTGGTAGCTTGGAGGCCATTGCTATGAGGTTGCATTGCTAGTAAGTTGGGGGCCCATTGCTAGCAGGTTGGAATCCATCGGTAGTAGGATTCTTTTGGAGTTGTTTCGGTTTCTTCGTTCCGAGTTCTCCTTTGCTCATCAGGCCGAGGTTTTCGGGCCCTAGCTCCGATCAAGCGGGGCGAGGTCTATTTGAAGGCGAAGCGGGGAAGAACACTGTTTCCTACTGGACAACCTCTTGATTTATATTGATAGCTAGAGCTACGGGGGTTCTGATCTCTTTAGTGAGTGAAGAATGAGACGGCGTAGCAGGTTCCCTTTGAGATGTGCTGGTCTGCAGAGAAAGCGAGGCAGAGCTACAAGGATGTGATGCAGCCGCAAGTCATGAAACAAATACACTTTTCTTGAGATCTAGAAGCGTGTCTTCGAAACTGTATTTCTCATGACCAGCTTTGTTGTGGGATTGATGATTCATGATCAGTCTACATTCTCTTTAAGACAGTTGCCAGTGACTGCTTTGTATGTACATGTCCACAGGGCTGTACACAGCATTAGAATCAATACTCCAAGAACGCAGAGAGAAGAAACAATGCATGAAATTAAACGTCCATGATTGACCTGTGTTTGGATCTTTTGTGTACAAACGATCAGGGATGCTACACTAGCGGTTTGCAGGTGCCACCAAAGGACCCATGAAGACTTTAGAAAAGGTCATGAGAATTCGCAAACACATTAGCAATGGCCTCCAACCTACTAGCAATGGCTTCCAACATTCAAATTTCTTTAGTTTGTGACTTCACAAACATGAGCAAAGCTCTTGGTTTCACATAGAGAAACACAATTTTCCACAAGTTCTGGAGACGTTTTGTTAACGCTGCCCTATTGGCCATGTAATTCACCCACTTAAAAAAGAACACGACTGTCGGCACGACTCCAGACCATTCGCACGACCTCGACACGCGTTCGTTTTTGCCGGCGACAGCCGCGAGGAGCTGAACGAGCTCAAAGGGCTGGCGTCGCCTGACGAGGATGTCATGGCCCTGCATTTGTTGCTGGAGCGATTTAAAGGAGATGCAGGTGGGACGACCATTGCTGTGAGGCCATCGTCCTTTTTGATTGGAGGCCATTGCTGAGTTTGTTTGCTTGCCCAGAACGGGGTAGGCCATGAGGTGAGAAGTAGCTACGTAGCATGGATGACTTACATAGGAATCGACTAGACTAGACTAGGATGCGCACTCTGCTCTGGCTTCAAGGAGGCTCCCCCTGCCTGAGGGCGGGGGCAGCTTCCTTGAAGCCTTCGCACGATTGATTTGGTTCCTAGATTCTAGGGAAACTTAACTTATCATATCAGACGCCTTTTTGACAAAAGCATATGACAGCTGTGTCAGGTTGGAATGCAGAGCACATCCGATCCCTTCCCAGGAGAGTGATTTCGATTCATTTCTGTTTAGGACGTTGGAATCTAGGAGACCAATGGGTAAACTGAACTCACCACGAGGAGCTTCGATATGCTGCCACATTGGTCAGAGGCCCCACGGCTGCCACAGGCAGGAGCAGCCCACGGTTGGGCATCTCTTCCAGGCAGAGCTCGGTGAGCTCGAAGAGCCTGATTTGGCCAACACGGCCAAGCGACTTGCAGCGCAGGCCCACTGAACATGTGCCAGCCTGAAGCCGCAGCTCCCAGCATTGAGCAGGTCAGGGCTGACTACTCTGCAGTGGCTCGGGCTGCGGAGAACATCGGCGAAAACTGGCTGGAGGCTCGAACAAGATCAGACAATGGACTCGTTTCACAAATCCTCAGCTCGCTTCTTGAAAGCAAGAAATACATTGTCCCAAAAGGGGTTGGACATCGCCTCCAACCTACTAGCGGTTCAGGCACATGGGATTGATTTCGAGTCATTTTTCTGGGCGAAGTCGGCACCTTGGCATAAATCCAGCCGTTTGATTAGGGAGAGAAGCTTGAAGCTTACCACAGGTGAAAGAGGTGGAATTCTATATAGAGGTCCTCTCGACTGTTTGTAGCCTTTCTAAGCTATAAGACTCGCAGCCTAGGTGCTGTGGAGCCGCTGTGTGGACTTTTCCAGCGAGCTTCTAGCTTCTGCAGGTGCTGCCTGCTTTTGCTGCTTGCCCCGCGAGTAGCTTCTGGGACAGGTCTTTCTGTGGTTGGCAAAGAACATTGTCGTCTGCTGGTCCCTGGCTTCGATATGGCCAATCATAACCACAGGCGGACCCATGGGACTGTCCGGTATGCAGCGGGCGACGGAACCGCGACGGAACCGGGGGTACACGAAAGACGATGACGCGACAGTCGACGTCTTCTGTTTTGTTCCAGATTGGTTGGGACTGGCCGCACCCACACCATCCTGGAGGCGTCGTGGGGGTTCAAGACTTTGAATCAAGATGCATCGAGCGGTTCAAGGCTTTTCGAGCGTTTGAAGCTCTGAAGACTTTTGAAGGATGGCAATGTGGCACTCGTAGCGTCCGTTGACTATGAGAAAGGTGAAGAGGCCGAGTCAGAGCTGAAGGGAAGCTATGGCTTTAGCGTTTTGGTGCTTTGTGTGAGGTTCGTATTTTCTATGAGAAAGCAGCATCTTGGCCTCAAGAGCGTTTTGGTCACCAACTATTTCTGCAGTCCCTATTCTGCTTCAAAGGATAACAATCGCTTGCTCTTGTGGTTCCCGTCTCAGTGATACAGAGATCAACAGCTGATAGCTTGTTTGCCATCTACGCAGGTATGGGTTTGTTGTGGAGGAGAATCCCTTTGATGCCGCCCATATCAGGCCGACGCTGTTTCTATCTTTTTGAATCAGGATCTTGCTTGGAGCTTTGTCTGCACCTGCAGGCTACCGGTAGATCCCAAAGCAGGCCCAAGGCCAGACTGTTGAGCCAGTGGATAAACTGATTGGACAAGATTGATGTCTTGAGCGATGGCCTCGTAGCGTCCTTGCTCCTAGTAGTAAGGCCAGGAGCCCCTAGTAGCGTCCATGCTCCTAGTAGTAAGGCCAGGGGCCCCTAGTAGCGTCCTTGCTCCTAGTAGTAAGGCCAGGAGCCCCTAGTAGCGTCCATGCTCCTAGTAGTAAGGCCAGGAGCCCCTAGTAGCGTCCTTGCTCCTTGTAGTAAGGCCAGGAGCCCCTAGTACCGTCCTTGCTCCTAGTGGTAAGGCCAGGAGCCCTTAGTAGCGTCCTTGCTCCTAGTAGTAAGGCCAGGAGCCCCTAGTAGCGTCCTTGCTCCTAGTAGTAAGGCCAGGAGCGCCTAGTAGCGTCCATGCTCCTAGTAGTAAGGCCAGGAGCCCCTAGTAGCGTCCTTGCTCCTAGTAGTAAGGCCAGGAGCCCCTAGTACCGTCCTTGCTCCTAGTAGTAAGGCCAGGAGCCCTTAGTAACGTCCTTGCTCCTAGTAGTAAGGCCAGGAGCCCCTAGTAGCGTCCTTGAAGCCCCTCGGCAGCTGGTGATCCTGCAGCACGCTGCACTGATTTTGCCGCCTGGTCCCAATTCCAGGACCGTCCAAATGGACCGCTTCGACGAGATCGAGTGGCTCGCATACCAGTCGAATAGTTTTTTTGATGAGTTTTTGGACGGTGAGGTACTGACCATGCAGTACCTCGGAAGGGATGGTCATTTTGATCTTCGTGATACTATCCCTGAAAGACATGGTACAGGGCACGTAGGGTCTTGCGAGACCAAAAATTGAGGGCAAGGCGCCTACCTGTCAAACGGTCTTTCGCAAGGGCCATGAAGCGATTGCAGCAAACTGGGTTTTGCGTATACCGTGGACAAGTTCACACCCAGCCACTCTCAGCTCCAGCTGTCTCTTCGCTTGAAGCCATCGAGAAGACCACCTCGTAGGGTCCGGGACCGAGACTAAGCTGCATGACCTGGAACTGTGGTGGACTTACCACTGATACGTATCATGAACTACTGCTTTGGCTCTCCCTTCGCAGGATTGATGTTTGCTTTGTTCAAGGAACACCGTGGGGGATGGATGAACCATGGGAGAGCAGCGGATTTGCATTAGTGCCAACTCCTGCACAGGACAATGCGCATGATGGGCTTCTTACCATCATTCGAACTCAACTTTGTCCGCCGTCCCCTATCAGCCATGCCAATGTCCTTGAAGGCAGGCTGCAACATACACGTTGTCACTTAGATAACATCACGATAGACTTGGTAAACTGCTACCAGCATCCCAATAATCCTGCCAGAAATAGACCCGCCCCTATTCGAGCTCGTGACACCTTTTGGCATGCGTGGGAGGACCTGTTAGCTAAGTTGCCATTTCGGAATCTCCTCATCGCCGCAATTCCTTGGCTGCCACGACCTGTTCCACGACGCAAACGACATCCTTTCCTGATCAAGCAGCCTTTAAGGCAGTCGTCGACAGGTTTTCGTTAGCCTCTGTCAGAGTTCATGACCCAGGTCCCACATACATTGGTCCCTCAGGCAATTCGACCATTGATTACCTGTTTGCACGACATCCACAATTGGATCAAATGTCACGACAAGCGCGCTGTGTCAGGACCTTCCCATTGAACACTCATCGAGGATACCCTGACCATGCACCAATTGTGACCACCATCCCATTGAACTGGAAGGCTTGGTATTGTCAGACTTGAACTGCCGCGTCTTGTTTGTCAAGAGCCACCATGCAATGCATGCGCCAGGAGTGGGACTCCGGTTCCTCCCACTGGCAAACCTTCGCGTTTCAGATTGACCAGCAGTTGAGGCAAGAGTCCATGCAGCATGTTCAACCTCTGCAGCTTACTAATTCTGTCGTTCAAGCATGCTCAACCCACTTTCGTGCCTCACCTCCTCAGCAAGAAGTCACTTGGAATCTTCCAGCCACCAGGTCCCTGGTTGCTTTGAAGTGGAGACATCTTCACCTTGCGCGCAATGCTCAGTCTTGCACTAATCCGTCAATAGTCCAAGTATTTAAAGCATGGCTCCACATGAGCCAACATCTGAAGCTTAGGACGCGTCTTCGGAAGCACTGCCAAGCCAAGCGTCAAGAACGAGTGAACAAAGTCACCCAGGAGGCCACCGGAGCTGCGTATTGGCATGATTCAAGAAGATTACACATGGCCATTCGATCCTTGACTCCAAAGCAGCCTCGTAGGCAGATCAGATTTCGTCACGCCGGCGTTGCACAAACCCCGCAGGAGGAGCTCAATGCATTGAGGGCTCATTTTGAAGCGATCTTTGCGCTTCCACCTCAGACCTTCCCACTATGCAATCAGTGACAATACCCTTCACCCAGGCTGACTTGGCGCATGAACTTCGAGCCACCAAGATTGATAAAGCTGTAGCCCCAGGCACCCTGCCGCCACTAATCATAAAGCGCTTTGCATTCCAGCTTGCAAGTTGGTTGTACAGGTACTTGGAGATCACGTGGCATCACCATCGACCTTCGATTCCGGCAGAATGGAAGGACGCTGTTTTGACCCTGTTGGCAAAACGAACGGTCACCAATCCCACAGACCTCAGACCCATTGCCTTGACCTGCGGTTTGGGCAAAACCGTACTAGGAGCACTGGTAAAAGCTGCCTCCTCTCACATGGCAGAGCGCTTAATCCAGTTTCCTTTATTTGCCTATACTGATCGTAGAGGGGTGTTTGAGGCTCTGTGCTATGTGTTCGATCACTGCCATCAGGTCCGAACTAATTGCACCATGGCCAATCCGTCGCATTGGCAGAAGCAGGCAGGACACACAAAACCCAAACTGACAGGGGGACTCATGCTCTCACTCGACCTTTCTCAAGCATTCGACAAGCTGCCGCGGTCGAAACTCCTTGAGGGTCTGTTGAACTGCAACTGCCCGCCGTCAATAGCCCTGCTGTTGGTCAACTGGCTCAAAGATGCCAAATACAGTATACACCATAGGGGGTTGACCTCTGAGATTGTAACAACATGTGGGGTTCGTCAAGGATGTCGAGGTAGTCCCTTAGAGTGGAATGTGTTCATGACTATCATATTTCAGGCAATATGCCCTATTCTTGAATGCACTGTCAGCCAACTGATTCACCGGCTGATTTGCTTTGCAGATGACCTTTTGATGCCTTGGAAAATCAGTAGTCCGACCGAAGTTCACCAAGCATTGCACGCAGTTGGTCAGATTTTAGACGTTCTTGAACAGCGCCGCCTGATTTTTAATCCTAAGAAGACAGTCATGCTCATTCGTCTTGAGGGCTCTCAGGCGGCCAAACTCACGAAACAATGTCTCATTCGCACCAAGGAAGGACTGTTTGTCCGGATTCCACGGTCCTCCCAGGAGACCCTGTTGCCGGTTGTCCACTCTCACACCTATCTTGGTTGCAAAATATCATACCATTGTTTTGAGAAGTTGACGCTTAATCATCGCATCCACATAGGAAAAACCGCCTTCCAAAGACTTCGACCGTGGCTCGTGAAGCGCCATTCAATTACCTCGACAACGAGTGCCCAAGTGTGGAGATCGTGCATCCTCAGCTCGTATCTTCACGGTCTTGCAGCAGCTGGTCTCAAGCAGGACGGCTTGCGCAAACTGATAACTCGATGTAATGCAGACCTTCGATTACTAGGGCAGTCACCTGGACATGTCACGCATGAAAGCAATGTTGACTTGTTTCGACGCTTGGGAGTCATGGATCCCCTGCTTGGATTGCAGGCACAGTGGACTCAATTGTTCGACCGTCTTGAACACAATCAGGCGCACCTTCACTCCACGGAATTTTTTGCATTCCCTACCGATCGCTCACATCAAGCATCGAGCCATGTCTGTCTTTGATCATGCAAAGGCACAAATCTTTGATTGGGAACTAGCATGTCCGTATTGCCCTCAGCACTTCGTTGATATGACTGCCTTGAACCGTCATCTTGTTCTTGTTCACAAAATCACACGTACAGCGCAAGCCTTTATCTCAACCAGAGATGCTCTGCAAGGAAGACCACAGTGTCGCCATTGCCACTTCAAATTCTACGGTTGGGGAGGCTTAAAACGACGCATCATTTGGGATGGATGTCCAATGTTCAATCCTGACTTGGAAAGCCAGGTACCACCTGCAGACCAAGCAATTTTTCGCGAGCATGCTCATGCAGAAGCCTGGATGGCCTTGGTGGAGCAACCAGATCTCATCGGAGTCCTCAGAGAGCATTGTTCTTTTCGGGGAAGGCCCTACTGGAGCATGTGAACCTCAACCACTACGAAATGTGGTCCACGTCCAAAGCACAAGCACCGACTATCATCAATGCTCTCAGAGATGGGAAGCCGTGCCAAGCATGCGGCAAGCCCATTGCCAAAGCACACGCCTGCCATGTGATCAGGCAGATGGCCATCCTGCATGACCTGTGCTCGACAAACCGATGCACTGAGGACGTTGCCCATGGGAGGCCTGTGGCACCTATGCCACCCAAGCCGGAAGCCCAATGGCAAATCCCTGAAACAGGCCAGAGAATCAAGACCTCACCACGCACGGCCTTGAGTTTTCGATCCATCAACTCCTGCCATCCAGGACGAGACAGCGCTGATGGTACACCGACTTGTGCCCACTGCCTGTGCATCCAGGGCAGCTACTTTGCACTCAGGCGCCACATCGAGACAGGCTGTTGCAAGTCCTTCAACCCCAATCGTCCCTTGGGAAGCCACATTCCCATGACATGGCCCGAACTCATGACCGTGGCCAAGAACAATGAGACTGATCTCATCTTGCGCAAGCAAGCATTTGTACAAGCACTTCGTACTGTTTGTGCACTCTGTGGCAGGCACTGCACCAAGCCAGGAGCTCTCCTTCAACATCATTTGCAGGACCATGCCACCGTGGTTCAGGAGGCATCAGATCGAAGCACCAACTTGCAAAATCAGGCAGCTGCCTTGGGCCGTCCGTGCTACTGTGGGAATCGCATGGTTCGGAAAGGTCATCAGTGTGTGGTCTTCAACCAAATTGCAATGTTGCAAGTGACTGCAAACACCGACACGGAGCACCCCAAACCAGATGATGTCGCGAAGAAGGAGTCACCAACTGCAGTATCCTTGAGCCAGGTCAAGAAGCACGATGAGTCAGAGCTGGATGCCTATTGGGATCACCCTGATCTCCGCTCGAGCCTCAATGTCTGTTGTCAGCTATGTCAACATCTGCTCTCCCTTGCTGAACTCGAAACACACCTCATGACAAGTCATGCCACACTGGCTGCATCCGCTCTTGAGACTTATGCTGATTGTATGAGCCCACGACTCGATTGCTGCCGCTTTTGCCTAGACTCAAACGGGATTGAGGAGTTCTGCCCTGCAGCACTCCACTTGGCCTTTCTCAGGGCCTATAGACAAGTGGCTTGCGCTCCGCTACCACCCACTGATGGGATCCTTCGAGATCAACGAGGACAACGTGATGGGCCAAGTTCAGGATCCAGTCAAAAACGTGGCCGGCCGGAGGAGCTCCAATCCGAGCACCAGGACACACTGGAGCACTTGCAGGCCCAGGCCTCTACGGATCAGTTCCTGCTGTTCTTCCAAATGAATCAGCACGGCGTCCTTCCAGCACTGATGACACAAGCATCCACGTGGAAGAAAGACATGGAAGCAAGCAAGGTCAGCAAGCCTCTACGTGTGGTCCTCTTCCAACTGGTCTGTCAAACCACCTTGGACAGGATGCTGGCACTAGCAAAGGTGTCTCAGAACAGCCAAGAATGGGAGCAAGCGGTCAAGGACGAGGTGATCACACCGGAAGGGAAATGGCCCTGGTTACAATGGTGCAGCGAGACGAAAAGCCTCAAGCAGACTACCCGACCACCTCTCGACATGGTCAAGATGCAGAAACACCTGGAGAACTTAGTGGAGGCGGCGCAATCCGACCATCACTTCTTGAGGTTCAAGTCTTTGAAGAATACCTCCAAGGAGATCAAGCGCCAGCAAGTTTGCCCGTTCCTACTTCATCTCTCTCTACGAGACAGTGCCCTATGGGAACTCCTGAATTTGCTCTCCCACAACTTGATTTGGTTGGTGATCCAAGCACGTGTGCGGTCGCGCAACCAGCGGGAGAACCCTTTGGCTACTTCCTTAGCCAAATTCTCGAAACAGCAGGAAAGCAGGACGTCCTATGGCCGATCCAGCAAGAGGAAGTAAAGGGAACCTTGATGGCATTGCGCCTCATCAATCCCAACAACCTCTGTTTTGTCCATGCCACCATACTGGCCTTCTTTTGGGGATTTCTTCACCTACGCCATGGCAAGTGGTCGGATCTTGGTGGGGCAGCCAGGCTCCTGATGGACTTGTGTGGACGTAACTCACCCTGGGTTGACATCCGGGATCTTGAGAGTTGGAATCAATGGATTACCAACTGGGACGATGGCGTGCAACATGATGCCACCGAATTCTTGAAAGCTTTTTTGGCCTACACCAGGCCATCTGCCTTGACGGGTTCGTGGACTAGGAAAATTCAGTCCAATGAGCAGGTCACGATCATGGATCGAGGTACGGCCTTTCTGCCACCATCCTTGACCACGAGCGACGCCACTGCTGAAAAAAAGTTTCGTTGCAAGCTCTGATCAATGAATGGCGCAATTACATGGGCATGGTCACCGCTTTCGACACTGATAGCCCACTGCTGTGCTTCCAGCTTGATAGATTCAAGCCTGACTCCCAAGGTACTCCAGTGAAAGCCACCTGGCATCTCGAGCTCTCCATGGTCGAGATCTTGGTATCCCCGGATCCCGAAAGTCTCATGACTGAGGTTTATGAGTTTGTTCCAATAGCAGGCATCGTTCATCAGGGTCGTGACCAGCAAGGACATCTCCAAGGAGTTGGACGGACGACAACAGGCTGGGTGCTGTTCGACGATGGCAAGGAGTCATGCTGCCACCCGAGTGATTCGATTCCGCGGCCAGCGGACTGGATCTGCGTGTGGCTGATCCGCACCAGCCGCCGCATTGAGGTCATGCCGTCCTACTACATTCGAGGACATGATGCCAAAGTCCACCAGGCAGTCCAGCTCTTCGATCAACAGAGCTGGCAAGAACTGGAGTCGCAAGAAGACCTGATCCACTATTTTGCAGTTCACTGTGGAGCATGCAGCCAGATTTTCACTGATGTGACCACTCTGGCACGACACGTCTTTCAGCGGCATTTTGCGCTCCGCTGGACTTTGACCCGCCCCTCCGAGCTCCATGGCCTCGATCATAAGGGTTTGGAAACCCCTTGTTTGATGTGCGGTGCAGTACCTATGCTCACCTCGGTGCCCTCACATAGTTGTACCACAGTGCTCAACCTAGCCTTGGCAAAGGCTTACCATGAGGTGGAATTGAAGCCACGAGGAGAGATTTTTGGTGCTCCGCGACCACGAGAAGAGCCTGGAATGGATGATGGTCTAGGCACTTGGCTTGCAATGGATGACTGAGGCCACCAGGCCAGACGGCCACTCGGCTGACTAGAGTGGTGAAAGGTCGAAAGACCATCTGGCGCGAGGGCGCTTCCTCCGTGAGTGAAACCTCACGTATGCCCCATAGCTCCAAGACATTGGAGATGAGCCCAAAGAAAGAAAGAAGTAGCGTCCTTGCTCCTAGTAGTAAGGCCAGGAGCCCCTAGTAGCGTCCTTGCTCCTAGTAGTAAGGCCAGGAGCCCCTAGTAGCGTCCTTGCTCCTAGTAGTAAGGCCAGGAGCCCCTAGTAGCGTCCATGCCGATTGGTTTGATGCTTCACGGCTTTCTCAAGATACGATTTTGCTTGTATGCTTTCCTCCCAGGGGTCAAGCTTGAAGGTAAACATGGAACAGCCAAATGGAAGACAAGTCGAGATAGCAAATCGACAATAGACGAATGGGACCCCAACCAGGTTTGCGACCTCTATGATTTTTCTTCTCTTTGTTTGCCTTCGGAAACCTCTGGCTACTGAACACCTCGTGCCTTTGCAGAGACGACCACACCTGGCATGCAGTGTAACACCGCCATAGACCAAGCGGAGACTTCTTCGTTCTCTACAAACGTTTTGTCATGCTCGAGTCGGGACATATTTTACGGTACCTTCATCCCCCTTGTTTTCCTGAGCTGTAGCGAAATAGGGGGCGTGTATGCGGTGAACCCTTTAGTTGGGTATTGAGTGTTGTTGGCTAAATCATGTTGGTGTCCATCACAGGTTGGAGAAACTGGGTGCTGTGATGGATACTTGGCATGGGAAGGCACCTTGGCTTTGCGCGAATGCATCGCTACTAGTAACAAGGGCATTACGTAACAAGAAACTACTAGTAGCCCTGCCCCTGCCACTAGTTGGAATCTTCGCCCCTTGAAGTCGCAGGTTTTGGCACAGTGTCGCATGACCTTGGCAGAGCCACTGCCAGAGGTGCACAAAACCGCGGCGAGGGAAGGTTGTTGTGACATGACATGCTAGGCGGCGATTCTGGCTGCAGCTTTCTGCCAAAACTTGATACCTCCTGAAAGTCAAGAGCCACTTACAGCTCGACAGGACTGGACAAGAAACAAAGTGGAGTTTTATCTACAAACCGATTTTCTGTCGTTAGTAGGTTGGAGGCCATCGCTAGTAGGTGGAGGCCATTGATACTTTCAAGGAGTTGGAGGCTCTTCGATTCCTGCAGCGATGTTTGCCAAAGGCCGTGCACCGCTCGGTGCACGCTTTCCGTCACAAGCCAGTCCTTTTCCAGAAATTTCGCACGGACTTTTCGGCTCTTCAAAGGGTTGAGCTGCTGCACTGTTGTGATTCTTCTTCCTCATCGCTACTAGTAACAAGTGCATTACTACTAGTAGCAAGAAGCTACTAGTAACAAAGGCATCGCTACTAGTAACAAGTTCTTCATTTTCAGGCGGAAGAGCCCGGTCCCTTGCCACCTCCCAGCAACTGGCGGAGGTGCCAAACTAGCTCAATGTCATTTGCGGTTGCGGATGCAAATGTACATTTGCTGATTTTGTACACATTGTACCCACTCGAATCTATTGAAATTATTGAAATTATGAAATGGCAGACCCCAGAACTGTCACAAGCCTTTGCAACTTAGCATGTGATCGAATCAAATAGTCGACTTGGTTCCATAAAAGAGATATAGTCGACTGTCCACTTATTCCTTCAAGTCATTTTCAGCTGGCCCTTGTCCGGTTTTGTTTGTGAGTTACTGCGCGGCTGTGGTGCGCGGCTTCGGCCCACTCATACAGCTGGCCTTCCATCGCATGGTGGAGGCACGCACCGTAGACGCACCGGAGTTGCCAAAGTTGTTCATTCATTTTAAAGAATTTAGTCTCTTCAAACCTTTAATCGATGGCCTCCAACCTAAAAGCGATGGCCTCCACCCTAGTAGCCATGGCCTCCACCCTAGTACTGATGGCCTCCACCCTAGTAGCGATGGCCTCCAACCTAAGAGCGATGGCCTCCCACCCTAGCAGCGATGGCCTCCAACCTGAGAGCGATGGCCTTCACCGTAGTAGAGATGGCCTCGAACCTACTAGCAATGGCTTCCAACCTAAGAGCGATGGCCTCCACCCTAGTAGCGATGGCCTCCAGCCTAATAGCAATGGCTTCAACCTAATAGCAATAGCTTTAACCTAATAGCGATGGCCTCCACCCCAGTAGCGATGCCCTCCACCCTAGTAGCAATGGCCTCCAACCTAAAAGCGATGGCCTCCACCCTAGTAGCGATGGCCTCCAACCTAATAGCAATGGCTTCCAACCTAA